AGGAGCAAGAACCTCAGCAGCAGCTGCAGCGGCAGCACCAGAATCAGCAGCCACTGCAACGGCAGCAGACGCAGCAGCGGCAGCAGCAGAGGGAGCAGCGAGATTTAAAGCGCCAGCAGCAGCAACTGCGACGGCAGCAGCAGCAGCAGAAGACGCAGCAGCAGCAGCAGCAGCAGCAACGGCCAGATCGGTCTGAGTCAGGTTCTGCGACGCCGCGCCAGCAGAGGGAGGAGCGACGGCAGCAGCAACAACCACAGCAGCAGCAGCAGCAGCAGCAGCAGCGACACCAGCAGCAGCTCCAAGAATGCGGGAGGCCTGTAGAGGAACAAAAGCAACAGCAGCAGCAGCAGAAGGAACAGCAGCAGCAGCCGCGTCGGCAACAACAGGTGCAGCGGGAGCAGCAGCACCAGCATCACCGCCAACAACAGCAGCAGCAGCAACAGCAGCAAAATCAGGATCAGCAGAGTGAGCAGCGGCAGCTAACAAAGAGGCAGCTGCAGCGGGCTTCGAGCCGGCAGCCGCAGCAGCAGCAGCAGCAGCCGCAGCAGCCGCAGCAGCAGCAGCAACCGCAGCAGGCACGGCAGCGTCAGCAGCAGCAACAGTCGCAGCAGCCGCAGCAGTTTCAGCAGCCGAAGCAGCGTCAGCAGCTGCAGCAACAAAAGCAGACACAGCAGCGCCAGCAGCAGGAGCCACAATCGCAGGATTCACAGCATCGTCAGGAGCAGCCAGAGCAGCAGCAGCAGCAGCAGCAGCAGCAGCAGCAACCACAGCAGGGACGGCGCCGTCAACAGCAGCAGCCCCAGCAGGAGCAGCAGCGCCAGCAGCAGCAGCAACTCCAGCACCCGCAGCAACGTCAGCAGCGGCAGCAGCAACCTCATCAGCCTCCGCAATGTCAGCAGCCTCCGAAGCAGCAGCAAGCGCAGCAGCGCCAACAGCAGCAGCAGCGTCAGCAGCAGCAGCAGCGTCAGCAGCAGCAGCAGCGACAGCAGCAAAGTGCGCCGCAGTCCGGCGGCTGCCTGCAGTTTAGGGGCCGCGTGCTGCGGGTGCTGCAGCGGGACGAAGCTCTGGAGCAAGGGGGCTCGAAGAGCCTGCAGCGGCTGCCGCAGCAGCAGCAGCAGCAGCAGCAGCAGCAGCAGCGGCAGCAGTCGCACGTGCTGCGCGTGGTTAGCTTTACGGAAGGCACTGCTGCAGCAGGCTGTGTTGCTGCAGCAAACGAGCAGCCACCAGACCTGAAGCTGCGGAAGCTCTTATTGAACCACTACTTGCAGTCCCAGAGTGAAGAAGTAGGTTGCTGCTGCTGCTGCTGCTGCTGCTGCTGCTGCTGCTGCTGCGACGGCAGCAGTTGCTGCTTTTGCGACTGCTGGTGCAATACTTTGTCGGCTGCACCTGCAGCTGGCGCGTGGCTGCTGCTGCTGCTGCGAAGCGCTGCTTTTTGGCTTCTGCTGCTGCTGCGTGTTTTGCTGCTGCACTTGGCCCTGCGCCTTTTGCAGCAGCAACCGCAGCAGCAGAAGGCCCTAAGCCGGCGTTTGTCCACCTAGCTTCCTCTTTTGCTAGCCATGCCAGCAGCTGCTGCAGCAGAACCAGCTGCTGCAGCAGAACCAGCTGCTGCAGCGAGAGCATCTGCTGCGGCAGGGCCGGCTGTTTCAGCAGGGCCAGCTGCAGCAGCAGGACCAACTGCTGCTGCTGCAAGGCCAGCTGCTGCAGCAGGACCAACTGCTGTTGCGGCGAGGCCAGCTGCTGTAGCAGGACCAGCTGCTGCAACAGGAAGATCTGCTGCAGCAGGAGCAGCTGCTGCAGCAGGAGCAGCTGCTGCAGCAGGAGCAGCTGCTGCAGCAAGAGCAGCTGCTGCAGCAGGATCAGCTGCTGCAGCAGGAGAAGCTGCTGCAGCAAGAGCAGCTGCTGCAGCAGGATCAGCTGCTGCAGCAGGAGCAGCTGCTGCATTAGGTTTGTTTGAGTGTTGCGTGCGAGTGTTTGGTGTGCTGCTGCTGCGTGTCAGTTGCTGAGCCTGTACTGCTGCTGCTTGCTGCCGCTGCCGTTTCTGGGGGGGCTGGAGCGGGGGATTTTGCTGCTGCTGGAGCCCCTGGTGCAGCGCAGCAGCATAAAGCGAAAAGTGGACTTGGCCATTTTGCTGCGAGGAGCAGCAGAAGCAAAACTGAAGCAGCAGCTGCTGGGGGCCCTTCGCCACTTGGCCTTCCCAGGCACAGCATTTCCTTCTCTCATTGCTGTCAGGCCCAAGCGAGAGGCAGTGGACTTCGTGCTTCGGGTACCTGCTGCTGCTGCTGCTGCTGCTATTGCTGCTGCTGCGCAGGGGGAACTGCTGCTGCTGCTGCTGCTGGTTTTGGTGCAGCTCGGGCTTGCTGTCGTGACCTCGTCGGCATGGCAGCTTTTGCTGTGGGGTGGCTGCAGCTGCGACGCTGCCGCTGCTCGTCGTGCTGCTGCTGCTGCTGCTGTTGCTGCGGACGTTGCAGCGGGGGGCGTGCTGCTGCTGATATTGCCATTGCTGATGCTGCTGCTGCTGCAGCGGCAGCTTGAGGGAATACCAGCGGTGCTGGCGACAGTTTTGGCGCTGCTGCTGCTGTTTTTGCTGATGGCGACGCAAGCCTTGTTCTTGTTTCTGCTGTTGCTGCTGCTGTTGCTGCTGCGTGTTGGTTTAAAGCGCCTGCTGCGCGTCAGGATTTGCTGGCGCTGTCGAGGAGGGTGCTGCTGCATCTCTTGCTGCTGCTGCTGCTGCGCGCAGGTGCTGCTGCTGTTCTGCCGCATCGACATTGCTGCTGCTCACGGGCCCCGCAAAAACGAAGCCTTTCGCCTGGATGTCAGCATCACAGACTTCGTTTATGTGGGGTCGCTGCTGGAGAAGCTGCAGCTGCAGCTGCAGCAGCTCGACGCGCTGCAGCAGCAGGCGCTGTGGGCTGTTGTGAAGTGCGCTGTGGAGCGCCGGCGAGTGGCCAAGTCCTTTGTCGACAGATTTGCGTAAGTTTTCAAAACTCTGTTTTCATTTTTTCATCTTTTTCTTGCTTTTTGCTCCTGAGTGGTCTCCGTTTGCTGCTGCTCTCTGGCTTGGGCTCTCTTGGGCGCAGTCAGCTGCTGAGGTCGCGCTGTTTCTGTCTTGCTGCTGCCACTGCTGCAGCTGCTGCAGCAGCAGCAGCAGCAGGGCAGAAACAGCGTCGCCTGGGCTGCAGCTCCTTCCCTCGCTTTGCTGTTGCTGCTGTTGCTGCCTGTCTGTTGGCCACGCCCTCCTCGCTTGCTTCCCTCCCGCCTGCTGCCGAAGTGATGCTATGCTGCTGCTACCTAGCTGCCGCTGCTGCCAAGGTGCTGCTGCTGCTGCTGCAGGTTGTTCGCCTTTAGCGTCAGCCCTTGTGATCGGCTGAGCTTCAGTCTGTCCAAGCAGGCCGACGAAGGCGCTGCTGCTGCTGCTGCTGCTGCTGCTTCTGGCGACTGTCCAGAAAGCTCCGAGACGGAGCAGCAGCTGCAGCGGCTCGCTGACTCTCTGGCGCTGCGGCAGCAGCAGATAGAGGCCCTTGTTCGTGTAAGCCTTTGCTCCAGCAGCAGGCGCAGCCCAAAGCGCGAGTTCTTGATTAATTTGTGCACCTTTAAGAGGTAGCGGGCTTTAAGTGGTTTCCATCGACCAGGAATCGGGATTTAGGGTTTAGGGTTTAGGGTTTAGGGTTTAGGGTTTGGTTGCTACGTTTTCAGAGCTACCTGCTGTCTAGCTTTATTTGCGAGGGTTTATTTTGCTGCCGGCCGCTGCTGAGCGGCTCTGCAGCCACCGGCGTTGCTGTCAGCAACAGCGACATTGACTTGGGGGTGCTGCTTCCTGCTGCGCTGCAGCAGCAGCAGGCAGATTGGCTGCTGCAGCAGCCGAAAGCTGTTCTCAAGATTCAACCATGGGCGGTGCGTCAGCTTTTTTGCTGCTGTTGCTGCTGTTCCACTCGCTGCGGTTACTGCTGCAGCTGCTGCAACTGCTGCTGCTGCTGCAGCAGCAGCAGGGGTAGAGTGGACAGAGTTGCTGTTGTGTCTTCGGCGTCTCTGTGTTGTATTTCCAGAGCAAAGGGCGAACCATTGGGAACCGCCTTGCGGGACCAGAAGACTCGCAGCAGGAGGAGCAGCAGGAAGAGCAGGAAGAGCAGCAGCAGGAAGAGCAGCAGCAGGAAGAGCAGCAGCAGGAAGAGCAGCAGCAGGAAGAGCAGCAGCAAGAGGAGGCGCGCGAGGAGGAGCAGCTATGCGTCCCGAGCGACGCAGCAGACGAGAGCGATAACGCATCGGAGGCAGAAGACGCAGCAGCAGCAGCAGCAGCAGCAGCAGCAGCAGCAGCTGAGGAGGCGGAAGCAGACCTGCCTGCTGCTGCGGACAACAAAGAAGCTGTTCTTCGCTTCTCCTCTATTGCTGCGGGCCGGAAAATGGCCTGTGCTGCTGAGCGGCTGCTGCTGCGGCTGGGGCCCCCCTTCTGCATGCAGCAGGAGCTGCTGGGGGGCCCCCAAGTTAGCTTTTCTGAACTTGCCAGATTTCCTCTTGTGCGCATCAAATGGCCTGCGCTGAGGGGCCCCCATCCCTCGGGCGCGGAGAGTGACGCGGAGCTCGACAGCAGCAGCAGCAGCAGCAGCAGCAGCGCAGCAGAAGCGGCAGCAAAACGCCACCGTGGGGCAACGCCCGCCCGCAGCAACAGCCTCTGTCGGCTGCCGTTCACTGCTGTCGAGACTCGGCTCACAAACACCATCAAACGCGTGAGCTGCTGGGGCTACGGCTGCTGCTGCGGGTGCTGCAGCTGCGGGTGCTGCAGCTGCTGCAGCTGCTGCTGCGGCTGCTGCTGCGGCTGCTGCGTCTGTTGCTGCTGTTGCTGGTAGAGTGGGAGTAGTTTACGCATGTTACCTCTGCTGCGGTTGCTGTTGCTGCTGCTGCTGTGAAGAGGGAGGAAGGAGCGGCCAGTCGTGGGGTCGCTTGATCCTTGCTGCTGCTTATGCTGCTGCTGCAGTGTTGCTGCTGTATTGTTGCTGCTGATGCAGAGAAACCGGCGGTTCCCGTTCCTCCGTGAACGGCCCACGGCGGAGACAGCAGCAGCACGTGCTGCTGCGGTTGTTCCTGCTGCTGCTGCTGTTGCTGTAGAGATTCCGTGGCTGCAAGATGGCTACTGCTCGGATTCAATGGCGCCCTGCACAGTGAGGAGCTTCTCCTTCGAAGTTGCTGCAGCAGCGGCGGCAGACGCGGACTGCGGCGACCACTACCACCAGCAGCACCGCAGCAGCAGCAGCAGCAGCGACCCACAGCAGCAGCAGCAGCAGCAGCAGCAGCAGCAGCAGCGCCGCGTGGTGCCTCTGATCTCCTTCGGCGAATGCGACCTCACTTTCAACCACGTGGGCCCCCTCCACAACTCGAGGCTCATGAGGGCCTACAGCGTTGGCTGCGGCCCGGAAGTGCAGCAGTTCCTGAGGCTGCTGAAGTACTGGGTGAAAAGGAGAGACGTAGGGTAGGTTGCTGCTGCTGCTGCTGCTTTTGCTGCTGTTGCTGCAGCACCTGCAAGTGCGGCGGTGCTGCTACGCGTGCGCGCGAGTGAGCTTGGGAAACTGCGGGTGCCGCAGGAGGCTCGGCAGTCGGCTGCTGCTATGTCCGCTTTTGCTGCTGCTGCTGGCTAGCTTTGCTGCCTTAGCTGCAGCGCCTGCTGCTGCGGCTTGCTGTGCTACTTCTTCGCAGTGACGGGGCTAAGGGCTTCACTAACAGCTACTCCTGGCAGCTGGCAGGGGTCTATTTCCTGCAGCGTTGTCTCTTTCAGCCGCAGCAGCAGCAGCTGGAGCTGCTGCCGGAGCAGAAGCAGCAGCAGTTGAATTGCTCTCCCGACCAGCAAGGGACTTGGCAGCAGCTGCTCGACATTTACTGGGCCCTGGGGGACCCCACGTGGTTGCCTCTGCTTCCGAATTTCCAGCTGCGACTGCCGCAGCACGAGCAGGAGGAGGAGCAGCAGCAGCAGCACGCGGGGGAGCAGCAGCAGCAGCAGCAGCAGCAGCAGCAGAAACGCTGCTCCGCGTGCGGGGGCTTAGTCCCATACCCTTTGAATGCCCTGCCGGAGGACTCTGCGTCAGATGTCTATTTTTTTGACCCGGAGAGGGGACTCAACAGGCCTTTGTCTTCCACTTACGTTTCTGTGGCGCGGAGCGATAGCAGCAACAGCAGCGACGGCAGCAGCAGCAGCAGCAGCAGCAGCGACGGCAGCAACAGCGATATGTGCCGGTGTGGCCCTTGGAGCGGCTGCGGCGGCTCCAAGTGGCCCGAGGACCTGGAGGGTTTGTCGACCGAGGCTTACAGCCGGCACTTGCTGATGGCGAGCGCAGCAGCAGCAGCAGCAGCAGCAACTGCTGCAGCGTTTCGCATGAGCGGCTACGGCCACGGCCTGGGGCAGCTGCCCTCAGCAGCAGCAGCTGCACAAACCCTCCAAAAGATCAGGCAGGCCTCTAAGGCCATTGTCTTTGCCCACCCGGAGCTTCCGGCCAGCCCCAACTCCCCAGAGCTGCGGAAGCAGCTTGCTGCTGTCTTGGGGGCTGTTGTGCTGCTGCAGGGCCCGAGGCCGCGGCTGCTGGATCTGCTGCGGGCGTTTTTCAGGTAGGGTTTGGGGAGAAGAGGCTGGGGTGTTTAGGGCTTGGGGTTTTTGGGGTTTTGAGCTGGCCACAAGCAGCTAAAAGCGCAGCCAGGTCTGCAGCAAGATTCTAGGGTTATGAGGGTTTAGGGTTTAGGTTTTCAGGTTCAGGGTGAGGGGCTTCGGTGTCAAAGCCTGTTGTCGAGGGTGTGGAGCTCAGGGTTCGGGTTTCGGGCTCAAATCCTGGGTTTCCGCTTTAGGGTTTGGGGTTTAGGGTTTGGGGCTCAGAGCCTGGGGTTTCCGCTTTAAAGTTGAGGGTTTGGAGCCCCGCTCCTGGGGCTTCCACTTCAGGGTTAGGGTGTAGGGCTTGGGCTCGGAGGCTGGGGTTTCCGGCTGAGGGTTTAGGGTTTAGGGTTTAGGGTTTAGGGTTTAGGGTTTAGGGTTTAGGGTGGGCGCAGGTTTTACACGGTGCAGTTCAACGGCGCGAGCTTCACGCTGAACATCAAGGACTTGTCGCTGTTTCCCACTGCGAAGGCGGAGCAGTTCAGCTCGCGGCCTTTTCCCAAGTCTTCGCTGCCGTGGCCGCAGACGGCCTGGCGCGACTCCGCAGCAGCGCCTGAGGGCTCTGCAGCAGAAGACGAAAGCTTCGAGGCTTTGCTGGCCAACGGCAGATCCGCGAGGTGGCTCGGCAGGCGCCTTTTCTTGACGATCATCGACCCCTTCGAGCCCCACAGAGTCCTCGGTGCGCCTGCTGCTGCTGCTGCTGCTGCTGCTGCTGCTGCTGCTGGTGCTGCGCGGTGGGCAGTTGCTGAGGGGTGGGGAGGGGCGCTGGCCGCTGCTCAGGGGTTGGCTGCTGCTGTCGGTGGGGCTGCGCTTCATGCGGCTGCGGCTGCTGCTGCTGCTGCTGCTGGTGGTTTCCGTAGGCTGCCAGGACCACACGGACTCCATCACTGCCACAGAGCTGCTGCGGGCGCTCCTCATCACGAGCAGCGGCAACTTGGAAGTGGAGGCAGCGGGGCGGCGGGGGCTGCCGCTGGGGGCTCTTTTTGACAGTTACACGTGGGAGCAGCAGGGCCACAGGGGCAAGGAGCAGCAGCAGCAGCAACAGGAGCAGCAGGCCACTCAGAAGGAACAGCAGTCCAAGAAAAAGGAAGGAAACCGCCACAGAATGTACTCCAGAGAGCTGCTGCAGAGATCCCGCCAAATCCTCACCTACAGCCAGGGCCCCCGCCCTCGCAGCTGGTGTTGGCAGTCGCCGCCCGGCGGCTGGCAGGGCACGCTGCAGAACATCCACATGCTGCTGCAGCAGCAGAAGCAGCAGCAGCAGCAGCGCCTTCTGCTGCAGCAAAGAAGAAAGGCGCAAGAAGACAAACTTGCGCTTCTCAGGCAAATGGCAATACAGGAACGGGCACTCAGGTAGCCACAACGTCAGCGTTCGCTATTGCTGCGGCTGCTGCTCCTCCTGGTGCTGCTCTAGCTGCTGGCTAGTGACGTTGAGCGCTGTACAGCTGCTAATGCGGAGGGAAACGCATGAACACTGCAGCAGCAGCTGCTGCTGCTGCACCGACTGCCAGCGGAGCTAGGAAACAGCCGGCGCGTAGCAGCAAAGCTGCCATGGCGGATGCAGAAGCACCAGCAACGCCAATTTCTGCAGCTTCTTTTCCTGTTCCTGCAGTAAAGGGTTTCGACTCGCTTGTGCAAATGGTTTTATAGTTGTAGTGTCACTTTTTTGCACAGTGTGCTCGTTGAGTGCAACTGCTTTGCAGCTGCAACGCCAGCAGGCAGCAAGGGATATCTTCAGCAGAATGTCTCTGTGAGCTGCACTGCATTCCCGTTGAGTCCCCCAGGCCTTGCAAGCTGCAGTTAAGGGGGCCCCCAAGGGGCCCTTTGAGTATATTCCCCCCCCAGAAGGGGTTGAGTGCGTGCGGGCAGCGAGGCTCATGGGGTGAGTAAGAGCTTATCTTTGGGAAGCCGAAGCAGCTTTGCCGCAGTGGGACGCAGTGCAGCTAACAGGCCCAGAATCTGTTTGGCCAGCACTAGCGAGGCCAGCTGCCTGACGACGAAGCTGCGGATCTGGCTGCGGGCAACGAGTTTACTGTGAAGGCGAAAGGCGATTGAGCTCCTAGGGTTGGCACTGACTTTTGTGTGTTTTTGCGCACCTGAGGCTGAGGTGTATCTACACCGCGGCCAGTGAGATCAGTGCTTTTCCCCTGCATGCAGGAGATGTGGGGTTTTTCGCCAACGCCTTCATCTTTTTTATTGGCGTCACTGTTACGGCGTTGTTGCCAGTAGCAAGTTAGTACAGTTAGTGTTCCTGTGAACTAGGCAAAGAATTAGGAGATGGCCGCAGGCAAAGTGGCAGAATGCCAGAGATCTGCATGCATCTAGAGTAGCTCAGGCCTCGCTGTAGGAATTCGAGTGGCTTCTAGGACAGGGGGCCTGCAGCAGCAGCTTCTCAGTAAGGATACGTTTTCAAGTGAAACCTGTGGGGGCACGGATCCCCTTCTTTAGCATTATTTATTAGTCGGGCGGTGCTTTAGTGTTGCTCTCGAGTATAATTTAGCTTTGTTGCAGGCCTTAGGGCTTGCAACCGGCAGACGAGCAAGAGGTAAGGGGAAAGACCCCTATTCTCGCTTAAACAAGAAACTCGAGACCTCTGGAGGATACGACTAGCCCAAAGCCCTAGGTTCTCAGGGGCTGTAGGGGCGCCTTTCTGTGGGCTACTGCACCTTCTCTTTGTTCTATGTTGCTGTGGCCTGCCTATTGCCGCTTGCGCCATTTTTCCCTTCTGCTTGTGTCGTGCGTCTGTGTGCTGAAACTTTTCTCTTTGTATCCCCGTCCCCCGTTGACCACTTCGCCTTGTTGTTTCGTGTTCTCTGCCATTCTTTTGAATTTGTTTGCGCGCATTTGCCACTCCTGCCTCGCTTTGCGCCTCGCTGTGCGTCTCATTTTCTTTCACTCTTCATTTGCGTCCGTTATTTCTCTCTTTCTTTTTCTTCTTGCTCAGTGAACTCATAACCAAGTCCGTTCTCAGTAGCCTTGACGGCCTCCAGGCGCCTCCTTAGCTTGAGAAGCCTGGATGCGGAAACCTGACATCTTAAGCGCTCCCGATTGCTAGAGAAGCCGAATAAAAAGATTAAAAAGGAATTTAAGATTTTTTTGAGACACGGCTGGCGCTAAACGCTGACTTAAATGCCAGGTTCACTTCAGAGACGCGGTTCACTTCAGAGACGCGGGAAGCCAAGGCGACCAAATACAAAGCTACCTGTGCAAGGGATTCACCAGCTCCGCTGCACTGAAATTTTCAATCATACTTGGCTCTTGTGTGATAGGAAATGTGCCTGTGGTTCGTAGAGGTCCAGATGATTTGTTCCCGGCCTTTGGCAGTCGATCGCCAGCCCCCACAGCAGGAAACAGCGCGTCGGGCTGACGAATTAAGCCAGCTTTTACTACCAGGGCATAGCCTGCCCTCAAAAACTTGCTAAAATACTCTCTGCACTGCCTTAAACACTTCAAGAGGGCGCTAGACCGCTGTGCTTCCATGCGTTGACTCCCTGGTCAATGCCTATCTCCCTCACCAGTTGGCCGTGAACACCGTCAGCAACCAGAAGCACACACCCAATGCGTCTAAATATTACAATTGCGTCAAATACCGCCACGTGCGTATAGGTTTTCAGAGGGGAAAAGTCCAGACCCAAACACTGCTCCACAGGCAACCCCCGAATACACGTGGCCAGCAGGTGGCGATGCACAAGCGCCTAATCCTCCCATATTATTACGCTAATTGTGGCTGAAAACACTGAATTTGTGTTTGGCCACATGAAACAGAGCTCTCTTCTAAATTTCACGTACAATTTTCGCGCTCTACATAAGCGGCAACTCTGGAAGGCAATTGCTCCTCTGCTCGAGCTCTTCTGAGGCTTTACGGAGATCCTGCGTAGACTGTAACGCTTATTAGGAATTCTACTTTTCTACTTACATTGACCAAGTGCTTGGCAGAACAGGCGAATCCTGAGGGGAGCGAAGGGAACACTGGTCGCTGCCCACAAAGTAGTCTTGTTGGCTGATGTATTGGAGATCAAAGAAACAAACGTACGAAATATAGAGCAGCAATGGCAAGTCACGCCCTTATTCTTATTTTCCGTATATTTAGGCTAAATTCAGGTGCAAATTAATTGGAATGTCACTGTTGGTCTACTATCGACTGGTTATGCAGTGTGTGAGCGACGCGAGGCCCCGTCGCATACCAGGACGCTCTTGCGCACGCTTGTCTTGGATTGTCTGGAGCTTGATGCCCTTTATTCCCATCAGACAGGAATAAATAGGTTTTGCCGTTGCATGAAATTGTTTTTTCTTGCGACAGGTGTTGGTGGCTGGCCTAGGCTTGCGGTAAGAGCGTTTCAGGCACTCGGCGTAACTGTAATCTATGCGACCCCCCCTGAAGCTGCAACGAGCATACTAAGACTAAAACGTCAAAGCTCTCGGCAAGCGCCTTCGCCTAATTTGGAGGCAAGTACCCGTTATGAGGATGTAGGGGTGGTGTTTCTTGCTCACTTTGTGCTTCGATTTGGTGTTCTCAATGGCCTCTTGCTGTGGAGTTTCACAAATCGCCCGCTGGCGCTACTGAAATAAGAACAGTTTGCCGGTAGTGCGTAAATGGAGGGAGTGGCTTTGTGCAGGCAGTGTTGAGTTTCATTAATGCTTCGAGAGCATTGTTATGACGGAGGCATCACTCGGGCTGTTGGCTGGCGTTGGTGATTGGCTCCCGACTACAAGCGGAGTTTGCTATGCTTCAGGGTGCAATAATGAGAACCAAGGTAGACGCAGATGGGGATTCTGAAGTGATTACGAAGCCGGGAGTGGATCTGCCAACTTCTGCTGACCATGTTTACGACCTGGGAGCACTGCGGAAACGGCGTGCACGACGCCAGCCTGCCATTTGGCCTCTTTTTATAGCGCTCGCAGCATCTGCTTCTGTTGCTTTTTTGCTTCTGAAATGTTTTTCGCACTTGCAAGTGAATCTGTCGAGGCCTTCGCGGGCGCTTGCGGGCGGCGACGATCGCAGCGCGTTCAAGAAGCTTTTATCTCAAGTAAGTTTGGTGGAGGAGTTCTTCATACGGTGCAAGTGGAGGTGCAAGCGCAGGCTTCTGCACCAAATTAGAAACTCTTTTGCCTCTGTTGCCCTTCACCTTGTTACCTTGCCCTTCAGGATAGCTGCGAGTCCAGTGACGACGAGCCTTCGGATGCTCCCCGTAGACGAAGACGAACGAGCCGGTGGAGGCTCTTGACTGAAAGAATTACAGGAGCGGCTCCCACATATGGGGGAAGGCGTTACTATGAGCAGCTTCAGCGAGTGCCTTCTACGACTTCTGCATTTGTTGGAAGAGGGTTCATTTTTGCCCCAGCTGGACAAGGGGCCAGCTCTTCATCTGTTTATAGAGCATCTACTGATAGAGGGGCCAGTTCTTCATCACCTGATAGAGGGGCCAGTTCTTCATCAGCTGATAGAGGGGCCAGTTCTTCATCAGCTGATAGAGGAGCCAGTTCTTCATCAGTTGATAAACTGGCCAGTGACATTGCAGCCTTTGTCGGTCACACCGGTTTGGGCTGGGTCCAGCACATGACTAATGTTGAAGTCGGATGGATAAAGGCACCCCACCAGCTCGGCTTCACTGTGGAACATCCTTTCCTCGACGTTGAAGGGGAAGTATGTTCCAAAGGTTGTCTTTCACGTAGTTTCGCAGCCTCGCGCACAAACGGCGCTTATAGATAGAGTTATGCTTTATCCACTTTGCCTAGAACACTTCGTTTGGGTCGTGTGCTTCACTATCTTTTGAAAGTTTTTGAAAACGCGGCGGCTGATGCCCTACTGCTGTGCGCGTCTCAGATGGGAGAGAAAATACGGGAAATTACTCAAAGGCTTGGACAAGCTGCAGTTTGTTCTTGCCTGACTCACGGAGGAGTGAATACCAGTAAGTCTCTTTGGACAATCCTTCCAGATACTAAGCATTGCCAGGACAGTACTTACGATTGCAACTTGTATGCACTTCTCCAGTCGCACGTGCGCGAGCTCTTGAAGTGCGAGCCTACATTTAGCGTGCCACAGGGTTGTACTGGCATTTGTGTGGCCTTTGCAGGTCAATTCGTGACAGATTGGACAACCCAAACAGGGGAAGAAGCTCATTTAGTCGTTGAACTGTGTGAATTGGTAAGTGTACTGTTATACAGCGTGCCTGCTGTTGCTAACCCCGGAACCCGGTTTCCCACAAAGTTGTGCTCGAAAGGATGAGGATGGATCTGCAATATTTCTTTGAAAGCGAACGCAGTAGTTATACAGCGAAGATAATAGTTAAGCGTGGAAGACAGTAGATACGCGTGCTTGTGTATGTGTGTTTGCCTAACAGACCAACAAAAGCACAGGAATTTTAAGTCAAGTTGCTCTTCTTTTCCCAAATAACTTGCGCTACAATGAGTCTCATGTCAGACAAGCCGTCCCTTGCCCGATTTACAAGAGCCGATCCACCGAAGCAGCAGCTGAAGTTGCTGGCACGCCACAGAAATGCGCTTTGTAACTTGTTCATTCTTGCATTCAGTTCCGGCGTGACGTAATAGTCGTGGGCGCAGAAATGCTGCTTAGTTGCATGAAAGCAGTGGATATTTTAGGGAAAGGTAGGTGCAGCACTAGACTTCATTCGAGGGCTTCATCATATGGCGAGGTGCCATCCAGTTGTTTGCTGAGGACTCATCATGTTAAATTCCGTATTTGCGCCTTTTGGCTGAGCTTGACGGGCCCTTGCTCTGCGCAGGAAATTGAGGCATGCGACTTGGTGACTGTGCTTTCAATGCAGTTCCGGAAGGGGGAACAGTTCCTATAGGTTTTGTAATCCGGAAGCCGCAAGGGCCGAGCACGGGGGAAGTCCTGATTAAGGTCCATGGTAAGTTTTGTACGGACGATTCGCTTGCCCATTCTTGCAGGTGTGGCTAATACATGGGGAAGCCCTTGAAGTTTCAGTTGAGCCCAGGATCACCCTCTGAAAATGGTTCAGGCAACTGATTGCCTGTTTTCCATGGAAGCTAGTCATGTGAAAAGGGCCGTATTCACTTGTTCTGGTGTGCCTATTGCTCCGCAGCCAAGCCTGTTGAATCTTTTTTTCGCTCTTCTTCAAAGAAAGATGAGTAGGCCGACCCGGAAGTGGTCGGGAAACGGAGAATTGTACGGGCCAAGTACGAATATGCCGCGTACTGCTTCCGACATGTATGACGTTGTTATGGAGTGCTCAGCTGCTCTGGTACTCGAAAGCTAAAGAGCTTACGCCCCGTTGTATCGAATATGAAGTCTGGCTGTCGTTTGCTACGCAGCTGGTTAGAGGGCGTCACGCAGTGAGGGCCAAATGTGGCGCAGCCTTCAATTTTTGTCCACACTCTGGTTCCACTTTTATGATTTCTGCTGATGTCAGCCTCAGGCTGTGGTTGAGTTGTTTTAGAGCTCTGTAGATGAATGATGTTTTGTTGTTCGAAATAAGCTGCGTCACCACAGTATGTGATGCTAGCAAGAGCTAATTTTGTCCATCCTTTAGTGAAGTGGCTAGCACCTTTCTTGACGTGTTTTGCATTCTAACGAGGTTTAAAAACTGCCTGAAAGGGGTGACGCGTTCAGCCTTCATGGCGAAAACAGATCCCGACCGTTTGCATCCGTACCTGCATGGTTCATCAAATGCAGTCAGTGCTACATAGGATAGTAGGATGCATCTAGTCGATACAGCGCGGCTTGTGCGCATTTCTCGAACGTACTTGATGATTTTAAAAAGTAGTACGGAAAATTGACGCAATCGCTAGCTTGTAGAGAGACCGCGAAGGTGCACGAGGTGCCGCCAGTCCCTTCGTTGAGGAAACGAAGAACAGTCAGTTTAGGAGCTACATTTCGCTAGTTCTTTAAGACGCATTACGAGTCGCATTGCGAGTCCGTGCTGAGTGTACGGTTTATCTTGCTTTTACTGTGGAGTGGAGAGCATCCTCACGTGTCCGGCTCTGCCACAGCACGCACGCAGTACAAGTGTTATGGCTGTTGTAGATCCTGTTAGTGAGGGTACAGCTAAATTCGGACTATTCAGGAAAGTTTTTCTATGAATGAGCCAGCTGTTGATGCTTCGGACAGTGGAGTTGAGCGTTTTCGTAGCCGTGATTTCTATGAATGAGTCAGGCATGCTGGTTGATATGGCGGACAGTGGTGTTCAGCAGTGTTTGCAGTGTTGTACCCCCTTCCCGGGAGATCCATAAATACAGGCGTTTAGAACGGAACCCCTTTGCACCTCTCCAGCTGCCGTCTGTGCCGAACCCATAGCTCATCGAGATTCCGTAGACTGAAATGAGCGTGCACGAACTGCAGCGCATAGCCTCATTCACTGGGATACAACAGAAGAGCGAGAAAGTTATCGTTGTGGCAGCGAAGAGTTTCCTTCCATATTTATCAAATACGGTGCCCAAGTCACGGACCTCAGAGTGTCGGATTCAATGTGGTGAGAACAAGGGAACTAACTAGGTGGGCTTTGAATTTCTGGGAGGTGACTGTAGACTACAGTGAAATTTCCAGTTAAAGAGCGTTGCGGGGGAAAGGCATCATTGCAGCATAGTGCTGTGATCATCGCTAGATGGGTCTGAAGGCCGTTAAGTAAGCGCACTACCCCAACTCCTCCTATTGTTGCTTTGATGGGAAAATGTAGACAGCGGCAGGAAGCTACCTGGGACGTATAACTTCGAGACCCAACTGCAACAATAGAAAGATATTCCTTCTACAAGCAACTCAAAACTCCTGTTGCTTTATTTGCAACAGGAGTCTTGTATGTAGACAGCGGCAGGAGGCTATCCGGGGCGTATAACTTTGGGACCCAACTGCAACAATAGAACGATATCCCTTCTACGAGCAACTCAAAACTCCTGTTGCTTTATTTGCAACAGGAGTTTTGACTTGCTCGTAGGGATTAAAATTCATTTGAAACACTGACTCAATAATGACTCAAAAGTGTTCTAGCCAGCGGTACTGCGTCTAGTTGTCGTGTAAAGTTTATGCTTACCCCCCTTCAACACAACTGCTTGGCCCACATCACAACACAGCAATTACGGGCCCCCCTTCTATGCTAAACTTCTACATGTTAGCTGGGTCGCGCTGACTATTTCGTGGACACGCAAACGCATAACTGCATAATTTGAAGTTCCCAAGGCCCCGTTTGCCTTCCTCGTGCTGTGGCTTCGCCGCAATGCGCTGCAGTGCCTACATCGTATTGCAGTGTGAATATCACTGGTTCCAAACTCTGGCTGTTAATCAGCTACTCGGCAAGCCTCACACAGGCGAGAGTTGCCAACTGGATAGCCGTAGCGCACTTCACCTAGAAGGCATCTTTTGCCGTTTTAAACTCAGGGCTGTCCTTTTAAACTCAGGATGAACTGGTTGCAACGAATTTACTTTGAGCTCCGTTCTCGTCGTAATTAGATCTTCTGTTTTTTTCAGAGGGCGCGTACTGCCTCCTCTCCAAAGACGACTGGCAGCGAACGCCTCAACAGAATATCTGACTGAGACAAAAACGAAACTTCACTCAACACAATGAAGCCGGTTGAGTTTCAGCAGTGCTACTCTGGAGGTAAACTGGCTTCGGCACATAAGGCACACCTGCATGGTCCTTGCGGTATAATGAAGAAGTCTTGACTAGTGCACATTGCTGCTGCGGCTTGATGGGAGTGGCTCCCCTTGGGCAGGCTTCTCATCCAATTTTGCTTTCATATCAGCTGCTGCTGCTGCTTTTCTTGATGTAAGGGATACTGCTGCAGCAGATAGGCTGGGGGCGCTGAAGAGCTGGGTTTGCTCACGGACTGGGGGGCCCCTCGCGTGACCCTAGGGGCCCCTCATGTCTCTCTGGCCTATGTCTAGAGGAATTCTTGTATTAACTCCTTAATTTCACTAATTATTAGAAAAATATACCTCAAAAAGAACACAGCTGCAGCCTTCTTGAGTGGGGGCCTTCCCCTGCGCGCCTCCCTCCTCCCCAGCAGTCCAGTAGCAAACGGAAGGACCCACTGCTCTTCCCGAGCACTGTCTGTACACCCGGCATATCCTTATATCTTCCTGTTTTGAGGTTCAGCATTCCTTCCCTCTCTCCGCGCCTCTGTCTCTGTCCCCTTCGCCGTATCTGAATATCTATCTCTTTGTGCCTCTATTTCTTTGTCTCTATCCGCATCTCTATCTGTGTCTGCTGCTCGCGACAGAGCCGCCCTTCTCCCTCTTTTAGTCTTCGCTGGGAGGCCCCTGGGTTCAGTTCTGCAGGGCCTGAGGGGCCCCCCGGGCGGCCACCCATGGGGGGGCCCCCTCTCTACAGGCAGGGCCTCTCCTGCGGGGCTGTGGCCTGCGGGGCAGCAGCCTGCTGGGTGCGGGCTGCTGCAGGTGCCTCTGGGGAGCCGCGGCTGCCCCCTTGGGCCTTCAATGGCCCCCTGAGGCAGCGGGCGTACAGGGAGGCTCTGAGGCTGCGGAGACACAGGGCGGCGGTGCTGCTGCTGTATCTGCTGCTGCCTTTCTTTGCGCCTGAGACGTTCAACCTGCAGCACCAGCAGCAGCAGCAACAGAACCAATCACAGCAGCGGCAGCAACAGCAACAGCAACAGCTGCAGCAGCAACAGCAGCACCAGCAGCGCCAGCTGGTAGAGGCCCACACGGCTGCCGACTTCGCCTCAGAGGCCCCACTCTCCCTCATTGAGGCTCTTTTAGATCCTTCACATGCCATCGCACTGCAGCAGCAGCAGCAGCAGCAGGAGCAGGAGTACCAGCATCTCGGCCCTGCCCAGCTGCTGCTGCAGCAGCCCGCGAGGTCCTCCCGCAGCAGGCGGCTGAAGGAAAGGCCCTACTGCGACGCGTCCTCCGGAGAGTGCTTCGTCCCTTTCCCCAGCAGCAGCAGCAGCAGCAACAGTGGCAGCAGCAGCAGCAACAACAGTGGCAGCAGCAGCAGCAAGCCCAGTGGCAGCAGCAACAGCAGCAGCAGCAGCAGCAGCAGCAGCAGCAGCTTCAGCCAGCGCTACTGGGCATTCGTGAAGTGGCTCTCTCCTTTGTCAGCTGCTGGCGGGTGGAAGGCTCTGTGGTTTATTTCGCTGCTTTGTGTCTTCTTCTTGGGCTACTGTTCCCTTCTTGCTGCAGTGACTCGTGGCTGCTCGCGGTCTGCTGCTGTTCCTGCTGCAGCACTGGCTTGCTGCGTGGTGTCAGCAGCAGACTACGCCCTGCTGCTGTTCGGGGATACCCCAGCAGCAGCAGCAGCAGCTGCTGCTGCTGCTGGCGGGGCCTGGAGAGCCACACGCCTCGCGCGCCCTTTTCTGCTGCTTGGGCTGCAGCACTCAGTCCGTAGGCTGCTGCTCAAAATCGTCAAGACGCTTCCTCAGGTCTGCTGTTGTTTCTGCGTTGCTGCTGCTCGTGCTGCTGCTGCTGCTGCTCATAGAAGGTTCCTGCTGCTCGTGCTGCTGCTGAACTTGCTGCTGCTGCAGCCGCTCTGGTCACGCTCTCTGCGCCTGTGTCTTGAGCTCTCTTAATTCGCCTTTTCCATTAAGACGTTTCCTCAGCTGTTCGTGCTGTTCCTGCGTTGCTGCTGCTGTTGCTGCAGCAGCAGCAACAGTTGCTGCTGCTGCTGCTGCTTCTGCTACTCGCGCTGGGTTTCTTTTGCTTTTGACGCGGGGCCTTTGTGCTGACCCTGTGAGCCTTTTGTGTCTTCTTTACTGTTTGTGGCTCTCAGATTTCGCTGCTGCTGCTGCTGCTGCTGCTGCTGCTGCTGTTCGTGCCGCGCAGGTTTGGAGCATAGTGCTGGCTTTGTTTCTCTCGGTGGCCCTCTTCGACTGGCTGGGGGTAATTCTTTTTGCAGGCACAAATGGCCACGAGCAGTTTCACAACTTTCAAAGAGGCTGCGTTTCTTTGCTGCTGGTGGTCACCACTGTGCGGCTGCCGCAGGTCAGTCTGGGGCCATTTTTTTCTTTTTCTTTTTCTTTCTTTACTTCTGGCTCTTTGCCATTTGCCTCTGGCTGCGGCGTTGCGGCTCTTGGATCTTTGCTGCTCACTCTCTACTGCCCGCTGTCTATCGCTTCGTCTTGTTCCTGTTTTCTTTTTCTTTTTTGGAGGCATGACTCGCTGCTGTTGTTGGTCTCTACAGTGAGGCAGTTTCCGCCCAGGCGGTCACTAGCTGGGACTCTTTTTTTGTCACTTTTGTCTTTTTTTGCCTATTTGTGTTTCATATTTTACCTTTCTTTGACTTTCTTTCCCGTTTTTGCTTCGTCGCTGCCCCAGTTTTTGTTTTTGTTTGGGGTGACCTTTTCCTTTTGTGTGTGTGGGGACCTCCTTGGGTCCATATCAGTTCTGCGGGCCTTGCTCTCCGTCTTTTCCTCTGCGCCTTTCAGCCTACCAAACTCTTCCCTTTTTCTTTTCCGGCGGTGTGACTTTGTTTGGTTCTTTCCGCTGCTTGTCTGGCTAACTCTTTTTGTCGGTTTCTGTCACCTCTGCCGTTTCTCTTCTTTTGTCTGTCTTCTGTAGTGCCGTGATCGTTGCTGCCTGTTTGTAAAAAAGTATTATCCGTTACCTTCATTCCCACACAGCATTCGCCAGAGTCCCTGAATCTGAGCAGCAACGTTCTCACCAGCAGCAGCAGCAAAGAAAACAGCAGCAGCAGCTGCAGCAGCGTATGCGTCTGCGGGTCGTCTCAGGTCTTATTATGCGGCTATACAGTGCATGAGGCGGCCGTGCTGTTTGTAGTGGCGTTCTATCTGATAACGGCTCTGTTACTGGGTCTCTTCGCTGCTGCCTTTTTTTCCGCCTTTAGAAGACAAGAAGAGAAGGTTAGCTGGTTTTATTAGCCTCTCTGTGCTTCTTTTCTGTTTGCTTGCGTTTGGCATCCTGTTGCTTTCTCTTTTTGCCAGCCCTGCACACCAGTGCGCCTGCAGTGCCTGTGTTGGCCATTTTTATCTAGTGTCCTTATTGCCCTTTGCTTTCCCGTGTTCTTGCTTCTGTCTCTTTCTTGAACTTCTGTTTGTGTCTTTGTTTCACTCTGCTTTCCTTTAATATGATTGCCTCTTTCTGTTTTGAACTTTCTTATCTGTCCGTTCTTCTGTGCGTTGCTGCTGCCGCTGTAGCAGCAGCTGCAGCTGCCGCAGCTCATGCTGTCGCTGCTGCGGTGGCTCCTGCAGCTGCATAAAATCAAGCTGCTGCGGTCTGTTTTTCGTCTTCTGTCTCCCTTACCGCCTCTCTCTTTTCTCCTCCGTGTCTGAGTTTGCCGGTGCATTGCCTCTCTGCTGTTCTCCCTTACGCTCTTCTTCATTTGTGACTTTCTGCCCTCCTGTATAGCTGTCCTCCTATGTCTTAGTGTTTCTGGTCCTTTCTGCCTATATATAGCTTTAGATTCTGTTTTGCGCGCTGCATAGTTATCTTGGCTGTGCACATTGTGGTGTACGTACACCTCAGGACCAGTCCGAACTCTCCGCTTTGCGAGTTCGCTACCTTCTTGCTGCTTTTTCTCTCCTTCAAGACGCTGGCGGCGGCCGTGTGGGCCCCCGCGAGTGGCGTTGCTTTTATGGGGCCCTATCGGCCCTGCCCGCAGTTTCTTTCTTGCCCTTGACGCGGGAGGAGACTCAGATGCTCCTGTTGTTGCAGCAGCAGCAGCAGTTGCTGCAGCAGCAGCAGCAACAAGAACAGGTCGCCGGCTTCAGCATTGAGCAAAGGCGGCTTGGTACAGCTGCACTTGTCAGCCCCAAAGGCAGGGAAGAAGCAGATTGGATACCACACTGGGGATCGGGATCGGGATCGGGTCTGAGTCGTATCCAGGACTGGGGATCGGATTACGACGCCAGCAGCGAGGCTTCGCGTTTGCTGCTTCAAGTGTCTCCGCTGTCGGCATCTGCAGCGTCAACAGCAGCGGCAGCAGCAGCTCAGGAAGAGCAGCAGCAGACTGACGCACTGCTGAGGGCTTGGGGAATACGGATTCCAGACTCGAAGTCCCCAGCCTGGGTTCGTCGCCACCGCCAGGTGCTGACAGAGGCTCATTTCACGTTCCAGTGGCTGCAAGAATCGGCAGCAGGCACAGAGGGGCCCACTGCAGCAGCAACAATAACAGAGGAGATCTCCGCTGCGGAATTTGCAAGGCTACCAGCTGCGCTTTGCGCTCTAGGTGGGGCTTTAAGAATACGAGAAGCTTTAGGGTTTAGATCCCTCTAGTTCATTGTTGTGTCTCTTTTCTTTTTATTGGCGGCTTCCAGCGGCTGTTCCAGTGTACTCCATCGGCTTGATTTCCCTTGCTTTTTCCACCGTGCGTGTTGCTTTACTCACATGACTCTTTCTTTGTCATCATGCCCTTTTCCAGTTGCTGCATTCACTTTGTCTCCTATGTATTCTTGCTGCCTACTGCAGAAAAAGAGAAAGCTGCGGCAGCAGCAAACGCGTTCGCTAAGCGGCGGTCGCCCGGGGCCTCTCTGTCAGTTCTCAATTTGGCTGCCGACGTTGCTGTTGCTGTTTCTATGGTTGTTACATTTCTGCAAGTAAGGCATATAATACAAAAATAAATGAATAAGCATATAAGGAAACATGTTCAAGCACCCAAGTGTCGGGCAGGCATGCAAAAAGACAGACACACTGCGGACAGACACAGACACGGAAACAAACACACGAAGACTGAAATAGAGGAAAAGAGAGGAGGAGAGGTAGTGATGAGACACAACAATACTTGACGCGATAGGCAGAAAAGAGACGATGAGGCTCAGAAAAATACAGGCACGACGGAGATAGAGGAGCTACAATCTTTCCCTGTTTGTATTTTTCAGTATTGTCCGATTACTTTGTCCGTTGTTCGTTATGCCTATAGTCTTTTGCACTGTACTTCTATGCTGAACAGACCCGAAAGTTTATACTGACAGCCTCGACCCTCACAGGAGAGCCACTTGTGGAGGAGGCTGCCGATGGGATGCCGACTTCCTGTTTCCTCTGCCATGCTCGGAGCTACTGGCTGCAGCTGCTGCTAAGTGCCATTTACATTGTTTCTGCGGGAACACTCCTGGCCATAGAACTTAGACACAGGGGCCCCTGGCGCCTCAGCACAGTTGCCAAGTGAGACCTTAGGTTGCAGGCGACCACTGGGGCTCCAGCTGCTGTTTCTGGTCGTTTTGCCTTGTTGGAGCAAGTGTCACAGCACTGCATGCAGAAGCGGCTAGCAGCTTCTTGAGCGTGGCTGTGGAGGTGCACCAGACTAGAAGCTGTACGGTTTGCTGTACGGTTTGGATGCTTAATATATGAATTTTTTCATATGTGTCTGTCTTCGCACATACTAGCATGATGAAGTAGGCGTTTAAGTATGCATGCCTGCGTGAAAATATACATTATATATATATACATGTCTTATGAAGACGCCTGCACTTCCACGCATGAGTGTGCACTTACATGCCCATGTGCGGGTACGACGATTTCGCCACGGCCGCACTGATCTCCGCTGCACTCTCTCATGAAGTGTTCTTTTAAATATTGCATTGTTTGATGAATGCGCCGTAGATTTGACCTGTGTGGGGTATCTGTACACCTGCTGGTGGAGCTTGCATGCTTGCTAGCTGGAGCTGCGCCCTCTCTGTCTTCGGACGCTTCCGAGGGTCTCGTCGACGACCTATCGCGCGGCGTTGCTTTCGCCAGAGTCCTTAGAGGGCTCCGCATAGGCTTTAGGATTCAGCCTCTCAAAAATATGGTCAGACGCCGTTGCTACCGCTGTTGATGCCGTTGCAGCTGGTGATGCTGATGGTGTGGGCCCCATTAGTGGTAATTCTGGTTACCATGCCATATACAGAATACTGTGCATTCTTCCTTTCGCTGCTGCTGCTGCTTCTTCTGCTGCAGTTTCGCCACGGATACGGTTGCTGCTGCTGCTGCCTCTGCAGTTGTTGTTGCTTTCGCAGCTGCCTTTGCTGGGGGTGGGGGCTTCAACAGCAGCTGCAAAAGAGAGCTGCAGTGGGCGTGCAGGGTAGTACTGCAAGTGTCGAGACGTGTGCGCAGGTGACGCGTTTGCTGCGGGCGGTACGGCGCTTGAAGACCGTTGTTCAGGTTTTGCTGCTGTTGTTCTACGCTTACGCCACGGTTGGCATGGAGCTTTTTAGAGGTCTCATAGAATGCGAGCTGCAAGGGGGGCAAGCAGGGAACGCCACAGGACCCGAGGCTGAGGGTGACCCCATGGACTTGGGGTTATTGAATTTCAATGACCTGTTCTCCTCCTTAGTGACCCTATTTCTTTTGACTGTTAATGGCTGGGACGACTCCCTTAAGGTAAAGTGAACAAGGGCAGCCAGCGCAGTTGCAGGAGCTGCTGCAACTGCGGCCATATCTGCAGCGCAAGGAGCATACCCCAGGCGATATGATCTTCTCTGCCATAGTCAGCTATACGAGTGGCACAACGTATGCCCGTTGGAGTTTCGGATTGACGCTTCGTGTATGCAGGCCTTAGTGAAACACACATCGGTGCTGAAGTGCAGTTTATACTTTGTGTCGTTTTATATTCTGACGGACACTATTCTTCTGAACCTCCTCGTGGCCCTCGTCTTGGAGGCCTACGAGCAGGTGAGTATATTGCAACGTTAGGATTTACTCTTTGCAGTTCAGGATTAAGGTGGGCATTCATGAGTACAGTGGCGGTTGCTCCGTCTTCGTTGGGTTTTATTGGCAGGTTTCGTCGACGCCTTCCAAGAGAGCAGCCTCAGCTGTTGAGGAGCAGAAGCAGCAGCGGCAGCAAAAAAAGAGGCAGCAGCAGTCCCTCAGGATGCCGCTGCAGCAGTCCCCGCTCGTGCTGCCATTTGGGGGAGCGGCGCTTAGCGAGCAGTCCCCAAGCCCCGCAGGGACCGATAGCGACCAGTCGAGCCCTTTCTTCGACTCCTAGCTAGCTAGTCAGCTAGCGGACTGATTAATAAACTATCAAGCTAGCGAACTAGCCAGCTGGCTACTGAACTAGTTAGTTGGCTGAAAAAATCGTCAGCCATCTACCTACCTGGATATTTGAAGTTCCATTCCTCTTCGCCTTCCGGGGCACCTTGAGTGTTGCCGTTGTGGCGGACAATCTCATCCCTTTTTAATTGTTCTTATTTTAAATAGCGGCCTCTGTTAGCTCCATTTGATTTTTTCCTTTAGTACAATCAAGCCGCACTAGGAACGAGCGAACTGGGTGCCGAGTACTGGGTAGCTGTACAGACAAGGTGTTGGCTAGCTAACTAGTTGCTTAGGGGTTGCCTGTTCCATTAGAATACGAATATGGCCATCCAAGCAACATGATCTGGCGACCAGCAGTAACGCGATGTGTAGACAAGCAGAGAGACACTCCTAGAAGACAATGGAACAAATTATTGCAGACAAGACCGTTTTCTGCGTATTCACTTGCGGGGTTCCTCTCCCATCTCTTCCTCACGCAGCTGCGTTGCCTGCACTGGCGGGCAGGTTACCCGCACCGACGGCTCAATTGTCTTGCGACTGGCAGCTGTGCCCCGTGAATTTGCTGCTAGGCTGCCACCTAGCCAGCTACGCAGCTAGCTACCAAAATAAAGCAGCCACTGTATGGGACAGAAACTTCCGCTGGCCACCAAGAAGGTCTGGCTAGCCAGCATGCTAGTCACCGATACGTCTAGCCATCGAGCGATGTTACACAGCGGTAGCCAAGTGCTACCTAGCCACCAAGGCAATCGCGTTTCTACCTGCTTCTGTTGCAAGACCTGTGGAGGAGCAGGTGCGCTTCTGCGTAAGGGGATGTCGCGAGGACTCCCGATTGGAGTCGCAGTGAATTCATTTCTTGACAAAACTGAAAGCCGGCAAACGAAGCAGGAAAAATCAAACAAAATAATTCACGAAGAAACAATTCCACGGCGATACAATGCCATAAAATGGGGAGAAATATGAGAAAAGCGCGCAAAAAACGGAGAACAGAGAATACAAGAAATCACCACCTTGCTTTTGTCACTCTGATAACAGCTGTGCTTCGAAACGAGTGCACTTATAAAGTGGAATAAAAAAGAAAAAGACAGAGAAGAAGAAGAGAAGCACAGGAGTACATGAATCTGCAAGAGGGAAACGCAAAAGGAAACAGGGGCACGCAACGAAACAAGATAAAATAAGCACAGCAGAAAAGAATTGAGATAGTGAATGGTCCCTTACCGAGCAAGGGCCCCTGTAATTGTTTCCTTCCTTTTCTCGCTCTTGTCATTCTTGTTGTTTCTTGCCGCTGAAAGCCGCAGAGCTGTTTGCTGCCTTCTGTGTATGAGGTGCTCGCGTTCGTTTTTCTGTACAGAAGTAAGCGAGCGGATTGACCCGACACAAATTCGTTAACTTCCTTTCTTCATTTGCTGCTTCCACGCACTTTTTGCCAAACGATAAAAGTTTAAAAGGAAGAGACCACTTAACGAAGATAAAATCAGGAGAAGGAGGGAGACAAATGTAGACAAAACAGGCACAAATAGACTTAAAGAAAGAAAGTGACAGAGGCAGTCAAAAGGGCATCGGAGTGACATAGAAGGAGGGGGGAAGAAACAGACAATGTGGAACGAGACACAGAATACGAAAAAATGAGGCAAAAGAAAGGACGAGGAGCATATGCAAGAGACACATCCCATAAAAGCAGACGGAAAAGAGAGACGAAAAATAACGCATACAAAGAAGAGGGAACAATGGAGGCGATGAATAATAGTAGGATGAAGTTGATCCGGTGTCCAGTACAAGCTGTTGAGAAAAGAGCGGCACAGGCACATACCCGGCTTCTCTTCTCAGCTGCGTCCCTTCCTCTCTGCTTCTTTTTCTGTTTCTTTGGTTTCTTAGCGTCTACACAAGAACAAACAACCGTGCTTTTACTGGCGCAGCGCATTTATTTTCAGGCAAGCCTGCTTCCTCGCAACAACACACCCTGTTGAGAAACTTTATGGGCCATGTAGACGCAAATGCCAGCATAACGTCTGTATCAATGGAATAGAAAACATCTACGCGAATGCAGGTGGATGCTAAGTGGCTTTTCGTTCGAGATCTGCCCCAGCTATGAAGCGCCTGTGTACCTTTATTGGGTTCGGGCGGCAGCACTGGGGCAGCCTTGCGTTTCTTGTCGTATGTCCCTATCGGCGTTGTGTCCAGCGAAATCATATCCGCAGGTATCTTTTCCAGCAAAGAGTGGATCTCACGTTCCTGCCTTTGCTGCAGCAGCAACAGCAACAGAGAAGCCAGCAGACAGACCGACAAAGTTAGCAACAGCGAAACCACAGCAAGCAGGAGATGGCCTGTGTTGCCTGTTCATATAGTGGGAGAATTTCTACACGCATTTTATCTGCATGTGACCTTTAGCTAAACCACTAAAGTAAATCCTTATAAAGCGCAACTGGAGCTAACTCTATTCAATGCTGGAGAACCGCACAAAAGTACACCCTACCTTCTTGGTTTCGTAAGGATTTGCGTCTCTTGAGTCGTAGTTGGCCAAGCCGGCACCAGGCACGAGCAGGGTTCCTACTGCACCTGTGGACCCGTAGGCGCAGACGTCTTCGAAGGGTCTGAAGGCAAGGCAGCTCACTTGCTGCAGACGCACAGCACAAAAGCGCTTAAAAATACATTCAAATGCACAGACATTATGTGGGCTTTGTGTGTGAACTTTCTCGCTATCCAAGGAATAACAGGAAAACAGATGGTGAACGGATTATTCCAACTAGAGCAACGAAAAACAATCGACTCTGAAGAGTGACAATTGCAAACAGAAGGGCTACTCAGTGAAATTGTGTGAAATTAAATCCTGCATATGCTTCTGCTTTTGTCTTGTACGTTTGAATGTGTTTTTCGTGTTGGTGAGTTTGAATACACTCGTTCGGCTACCTCCGTGGTGTCATTTTATCTGTGCACCAGCTTCTAGGCCGTATTCACGTCCTCCTATCTAAGCGCTGTTTCTCTGCCTCCGTTTTGATTGTCTTGTTCCCTTCGTCTATGTCTTGCCCTTAGGGTCGCCACCTCTCTTGTCATCACTACGTCCGTGTCATTTAAGCATTTTTTTTCTGCCTCCGCTTTAGCCTAAGTAGCACTCCATCTCTGCCTCTCTACGTTTTGCCCTTTTATATATGTTGGGCTGCTTCTACGCTCCTGTCTTTGATGCATCTCTTCTTATCTCACCTCCCCTGGCATTTCGTGCGTCAAGTACAATGTAGCCCTTTGCTGAGTTAATACATCTTTCCATATTTGCACATGTGATCCGAAGCCTAATCCTACCAACCCTGTCTGGCTTATTGAAACACACGAGGGCGGGGAACCGAAATAATTAAACGACTGCACGGCCTCGTATTTGCGCAGGTCCCACAGTTTCCACTTCCCGTCCACACCTGTACATATAGCCCAAATTGCAGAATGCGAGTCGTAAAATCTAAAATATAACCCAAGATACCACACTCCGCAATTCAGGAAAAGCGTTACACAAATCCTCAACCCCGGTACATGAATCCCATACAATGAAACGCAAGCACTGCGCCTGCACAGTTGAGGGTTTTATGTCAGCTGCAAAATAGGCCTCAGCCACCCATACTGGGGACGCAGCGTTTACTGGGTTTAAAGCTCAAAACAGAGTGTAGGAGGCACAAAGTTGGCATTCGGTTTATCTACATACGCCCCCTGGCATCAGAGCCCATCATGAGCCACTCGACTCCCTACAGTCTGTCGCTGTAGCTCGTCAAAATAGTGTACCGTAAACCCCAAAACATACTCCCTAGGCAAAACTCACCAGCAGTAACCATGTATTGATCTTGCGCTGCAAGCGCAGTGACTTTTCCTTTGTGGCACAACATGTCCACCGCCGGCTGAAGCAGAGCACACCGAAACCTGCATCCCTGAACCCTAAACCCAAAAGAGTAATCGAAGCTCACGGTTCAAGAGGTACGTAAAGCAGTCAAAAAGCACTCGCGTCCTGGACACAGTGTATAAATCCCATTCCCTGAGGTGCCAGTCCCCTGTTTGCTTCGACCAAAAGCCTATGACAAAGGTTCGCAAATTTGGACTTAAGGGACTGGAGAAGTCACCTTGCCGAGGTTTGGTGTCCAAAGAGTGACGGTGCCTTTCGTGTGTCCGAGATGCATCACTGCGTTCGTAGGATTTGGGGCCATCACCCCGCAGGGCCCCCTCTTGGTCCTGTGTTTTGCAGCAATTTGGCCCGTCGATATGTCGTAATAACTGAAGGACAAGGCGCCACCGCGTGACAGCAATTGTCCACACGCAGTCTCATGCATGCGGTTAAATGCATTATTGAGTTGTGTGAGCTCGAATGAATGCTAGTGCTGCGCTTCACTAACATTTACGTAGTTGCACTCATAGAGCTTTCTTTATGCATGCACATGCTGTATGAAGGCGCTTGCATGCACTCCCAGGGTTCTGAGCTTGCGATCGCACGCTTGCAGCATGCGCCTAAAGACCTCATTAGGTCTTACTTTAGTTCACCGAATTCTCCTATGGAGACCATGAGGTAATGGTAAGGTAGAAATGATAAAGAATAAGTCAGCTGAAACGCATGCATACAAATGCTGCCGACACCGGGACTGGATATGGCTCTCATCTGCAGCTGTGTGTGTGCTTGTGCTCGCGTTCCTCTGTGACTAATTTTTACTTGCCGCAGCCTCGTTGAACCCAGTCCCTATCTTTTAGCGGGACACTAACCTCGCACAATCTACCCTGCTAGCGGGCTCGTTAGCTGACTAGACAGCTAGCGGATCAGATGTTGAGCTATGTTCAAAGCAAGTTGTCTGTCGATGCATCTTTGCAGAAGGCTCTGCATGCCATTCATGGTATATTCAAGCTGCTCAAATATCTGAATTGCTATTTAACCAGTTGATTAGATACTTTATCCTGCGCAAACGGTTTTAGAGAGCTTACCATGAGGTCTCTAAGGCAATGAACTTCGATGCCCTGGTTGTCGTAGATGTAGACGTACTTCTTCTGAGCTGCGCATCAAGCACCGAACTTCACAAACATGTCCGTGAACCCTAAACCGTATACACTTCACGAGCCATCCTCAAGCCTAAGCCATGGCTTCATTTTGAAATAAAGGCGCGTGTAAGCGCGTCTTCGTGATACATACAAGCGAGAAACTTCCTGAGGTCACCTACCACGATTAAATAGTAACCAGAAGTGTAATTAAGGACAAACGTATGCTTGCATGCAGATATATATTGTATATGCACTACAAAACAGACGGCCGTGAGCATTCCACATTACGCAAGAACGACAGGACATAGACAGGAAAGACTATTACGAAAAGTATACTGCAAAAGCCGAAGTTCGCAAAACAATGTGTAAAACAGCGAAGAAATTCAAGTGAGAAGGCAAGAGAAAAAGTGTGACAGAAAGCTAACCTGCGGCCCAGAGTGTGTGATTCTGGAGAAAGCAGACAGACCGTACGGTTTCCTTCACCTAGAAAAAGGACAGGGAGAAGCCAATGCAGCTAAAACGCTGGAGGGCACTTTCAGAAAGGAGAGCTAGATGTAAAACGCAACGGCGATCAAATAAAAGGAGAGCTAATACAGGAACGTGGCAGGAAAAACTATAACGTAGAAGAAGAAAGACAACAAAGAGGCAGAAACCAAGCAAAAAGAGAATGCCACGAAGAAGCTATGTGCAAAAGAGAAGTACGCACAGCGCGAAAAGAACAAGTAATACGCAAAAGAGCAGAGCCCATGGGGAGTGACAAGAATAGAAAGAGCGGAACGAAACATTTAGAAAAGATAAAACGAGCAATGAACAGCGGCAACCAAACGAAAACGAAATCGCAAAGGGCGAAAAAGACACAGCGACTAGTGAACAAAGACAGAAAGGCCACACAAACGAGAAATACAACTACACAAAGAAAAACCCGCAGAGAAAGGCAAAAGCAGAGCCAAAGACGCATGCAGAAGCTGAGAGGAAGCAGTACGAAAAGGAGAACCCTAAGGCAACAGCGACAACAAGACGGAAAGAAACAGAGTCCTGTCGTGGGTTAACTGTCTGACATTAACTTCGCAGATCGTTTTCATTTCATGGCAATCCAAAACACCCAAATTCCCTTTTTGGCCCCCCAGCAGAAGGTGACGGCCGCCGCGCGTGTAGTCAACGAAGTAGGGGCCGAAAGACAAGCCAAGGCGAAACGCCTACACAGAAAGACACGCAGGCCAGCTAGCTAGCTAGCGAAGGGGTCACTGGCTAGCTAACTTGGGCTCTCAGCTAGCTCGCAGCCTAATTAAAGAAAAGAAGAAAGGGAGGATATATTGACAATCGGCAAAACATTCGAGCAGCAGAAAGGCCTGCCGTGCAAGGACGCAGCCGAATGCAGAATCAAGGGAAGGCAAAAAAGATAGTCGCAGGAAGAGACAAACAAGGCTTAGACGAAAACACAATCTTAAAAGGTAGACAAGGAAGGGCTGTTTGACGTTTGCAGCACCTCTTGCGCACAACAGCTACAATACAGTGTCGGATCCAGGGTTTAGGGTTTAGGGTTTAGCGCCTAGCGCCTGGCCTTACCTTCTTCCCTATTTCCTCGCTGACATTTTCGAGTATATCGGCCTGAGTGAATTTATACGTCTTCTCTAATCCCTCGGCCTCAAGAAAGCTGAAGGCAGCAGAGGGGAAAATGAGCAAATATATGAGTTTGTATTCAACAAATAAGGAGACAAGAGAAAGCAGAGGCTAACGGACAAGTCCACAAAGACGGCGTAGGCTTTCAGAGGGGCAGAGATACATAAAAATGCACTAACGAAGAACAAGTTTCAAGGTGCAGAGTATAGGGCGCCTGCGTAGCTGCGCCAGCTGCTGCTGCTGTCGCTCGTGCTGCTGCTGCTGCTGCTGCACCGGGACGTCTCACCCTTCTGTTTCTGTGAGCAACGAGTTCACAGCGGAAACGCTCTCCTGCACCTTCTGCTCTAAGGCCCTCTGCCGTTTTATGGTGCCACGTGACCTCTTCGCCGTACGCGACTGCGCAGCACAACGCTTCAGCACTAACTCGTTATTCCTAAACCCTCGATGTAGAAAGCTGGGGGAAGCTGTGCAATAAAACGGAGAAACCTCGGCGAGGCTTGTGGCCGCGGTTTTGCAGCTGCAGCTTAGCCCTCTCTGAGTCTATCATAACGCCTTGAGAGCCCCGGTGATGGCCAGTAACCCTCATTGGAACTGACTATGTCAACAACGGGCCCACAAAAGGCCCATAAAACTGCCTCAGTGCATGCTGATACTGCACTGCTTATGCTTACCTGGGGATCACTCATGGGCAGTTGGCTCTGTTTGGCTCCAGGCGCTGTTGACGCCTGGGCCCCGTGGGGGCCCCCCATATCTCGGGCTTGGTGTAGGGCCCCCCGCTGCAACTGGTTTGGCTGCTGCAAGCCCACAGCTAGGGCTAACCACGTACCTCCCTCGTTGTGAGCCAGGCAGTGAACACCAAGATCACAGAAGGAGCCTCCGAGGCAGCCTGGGGCCCTCTGTGGACGAAGGGAGTCTGTATCTGGGGCCTGCCAGGAGGAAAGAAATAAATGACCAAAGCTACTACTTGATTAATTGCTTTCATAAATAGTTAGATAGCGCGTTTGATAATGCTCGCAACAGAAGGCTAGGGGCCCTCACGACGAACGTGGGGCCCCCCAACGCGGGGCCCCCAACACCCCTGGCCCAGTCTAGCTGCATGCTGCTGCAACTGCTGCTGCTGCTGGCCTGTCCGTTTTCGTCTGTTTCTTCCTTTAAAATTCCTTCATCTTTCGTTTTGTTAAACGCATCTAGTCCTGTTTTCAGTGTCGAGAGGCGGGCTAGCGGGGGCTTGTGGCCTTCGCGGGCGCGGTTCGCCGTGTGGATTTCCTGTTCTACAGTTTAGGTTTAAGGGCTTTGGTCATAGCCAAAATGCAGCCCTTAAGAGACATGGAGCCCTCAGGGCACTATCAGCAAATAACTGAGCCGCCCCAGGTCTCCGTAAAAACTCAGGTGGACATCCCTCCAGACAGTGACCCTGACTTTTCTTCGGCGCAGCACTCCATGGCGGTGGGTCCTCCGCGTCCCAATTCTTGTCCTTTTGCCTGGTTTTGTCTGTCGCCACCTGTCGAAAACAACGACGACTGCGTAGAGTTCGCGAGGAGGTCTCTTGAGAGGGAGGCGCTGGCTGGGATTGTGCAACACCAAGGGCTTTGTGTGCTTCGTTTGACTGCAGCCGACGCAGCAACGCAAACCCATACGCAGCACAAAGAAGAGAGCCGACATTCAGGCTTCTATCAGGGAGAGAGCAGACGTGAGGCGCTGCTGCAATCAATTCATCCTGGGGTCTAGAGTTTAGGGTTAAAGCTCGAGGATCCTTGCGGACTTCTTCATTGCTTCTGTTTTTCCGCAGCGACCCACGCCCGCAGGATGTGTCTGGGCTGTCTGCATAGGCGCTGAAGTCGTGAGGCGCTAAACCCTTATCCCCTTACACCTAAAATGTGGACCCTTAGAGGGCTTTCAGAGTACAAGATGCTTGAGAGCATAACATGCCCTTGCTTTCTCTGTATAATTTTTCTGGCACTTGAAGCATATATGTTGGGAATAAAATACAAGAAACTCTTTTGGATGCATCTAATGAGGAAACATTGGAAGGAGTTTATGTGCAGATGCGCATATTCTCTTCGTCTGCGCCGTTCTCTCTTTTCCCCATTCTTCCAGTTGTCCTTATTTCTTTTGTTTTCTTGTTCAGCTCTTCACGGAGATTTTAAAGGCCGTGAAGAGGCCCGATATTATCCGCCCAAAGTTTCTCAAGTTCGTTTGAGACCCCTTAGGGGCTTCACGATACTCTTGGGACCCCTCTAGCGTTCTCTTGAGGTTCTCGTTGCACTGGCTTCTCATATCGCTATTGCTTTGCTAACACGAAGCACATCCAGGTTTACTTTCAAGCCATTACTATTGCATAAACGCCGCAAATGCTTGGTTCGCTTGGTGCTGGGTGCAGGGTGGAGAACACGTACAGCGAAGTTCTCTTCTGCAAATGCTTCGTAAAGAGAAAGACTGTCTTTGTCTTTAGATTCGGTATGATAAATATGCAGCAGAAGTAACCCACGTCAGCAGCAGCGGCAAAAGCAGCAGCCAAGGTGGCTACAGAGACAGCAAGGTGCCGTGCTGGAAGCAGCAGCAAGCTGATTTGTGACCTCGCCCCTGCCTGTCTACTTGTTCGTCTGATTCTAGGCTGCATCGTTGCATGGGATATAGATGTAGAGGAGCAGAAGGTAAGGCCTATCTCTGCTCATTAGCTCTCTCCGTGCACTGATGTTTTGGCATTTGCGTCCCATTCGTCTGTTCCATCTTTCGTTTTGACAAAATCATTGCTCCACAGATCGAAGCGTCGTACAGGGGGGTCCTTATACTTTCTCCACGTACAGTGATTTTTTGTATATTTGGAAGGCATGCATCGCATTTTCATCATTTGCCAAAGTATTCGCATTTGTAGCGCCTGTGCGTTTTCCGGTTTGCTTCAGTCCGACGTTCCGTTAAACGTGGGGCTTTTACTGAATGTACATTTTTCTACTGCGTATTAGGTGCATGCTTGGAAACATACGAGCAATATTCGCCTATTTGCATATACACTTGCTCACGTACTTGTTTGGTACCTGTATATACGATATTACAAGCATGCTTTCATGCCTATTATGTGTGTGGGTGTGCTTTTGGAAAATATGCATTCAAAACTTGAACAAGATATGCAGGCTTTAAGTGTCTGCTTGCATGCAGGCGTTAGTGGCCTTCATGCAGCCTTACCTCAAAGAGCCGTTGGGCGCAAACAAAGAAGATGACACAATGACGTATGTGTGGAGCGACAGAGCAACAATAAAGGGAGACAACATCCACCTTGTCACCACGAACGTGTTTGAATGTTTAGCCTACTCCTACGCATTCGCACAGGTGCGCACTAAACTTGTAGTCGAGAGTCTTGGACCTAAATCATAATCATAGGAAAGAAGGAACAGCAGAGGCACGCAGACAGAAGCCGAGACGACGCAGCAACCGAAGTACAGACAAGCGGGCACACAAAGAGGGAAAATGTGAAAGAAGAGGACCAAAGCGACAGCAAATAATTCGAAACGTAACATTTGCTTGCGCATTTTTTCCCCGAAGAGTGTAAAGCTAGCCTTCTTTGAGACGTTGGTGGACGCCGATATCGAACGTACCAAAATGATACCCGGTACGAAGTAGTGCCGCTGTTACTTTGCCAGCCACTTCTCGCCTTTCTCAGTCAACTATGCTGCTGCTATTGCCGCCCTCACCACTGCTGTTCATGTTGCTGCAGAGAGCCTGGCGCGTACTGGCAATATTCAGTCAACCCGTGAGGATATAGGGCGTCGTATTGGGGAATTGTTCGTCAATCGATTCTACATAAATCTTCACACGGATATTCTGGACACGCCAGGTGCAAGGATACAGCAGCAGCAGCACAGCTCCAGCCGTAGCAACAGCCAATTGCTGTCGAGGCAGTGCCAGCGGCGCTTCTCTATGGACAAGCGCACAACTCAAGTAGCACATGCAGACGAGCACACCTAAATGCGCAGGAACAACAAAAATGCAAAAATAAGAGCAAGAGTAGTACAAGCGGAAGCAGCGGGCAGTTTACTCATGCAGAATATGAGCGTATGAATATGCATGTGCGTGGATGCAATATTAAGTGTTCATGCAATATGTTGAGTGTTCTGCCTCAGACATATTCTGGGACAACGATGACTTTGCTGACCACTATGATCACTGCAGGCGTTACTTAGAGATACCAAAACGAGTTGAGATTCTGAATCAGAGGTACATACTGCACGCGGGGTTTCTGTCGTCTGTATCTCTCTCCTTTCTCCTTTCTATCTTGTCTGGTCTTCTGTGTTTGGTCACACTTCTTTGCGTTCTCGTATTTGTTTTCTAGCTGTATATACTTCTAAGTAGAACAGGGTGCGGATGTCCGCTGTGGCCTGTTTAGGCTTGACATTATTAAGGATCTATACGATATGCTGAACAATGAGTTGACCATTCAAGTACGCCAGCGCAAAAATGCGGGAGATCCAGTGGCAGCAGCAGCAGCAAAAGAATAGCAGATCAAGAGCGCCGCTTGACGGGATGTTAGTGAACAAAGTACGGTGAAGTTTCATGTCTTTGTTTTTGCTCTGCCGCAGCACGGGTACAAGCTGGAGTGGATCGTGATATACTTAATTTGCATAGAAGTGCTCATTGAGGTGGTTTGGAACATATTGATTAAAGATGTATTGAAGTGGGTGTAAGCACCAGCTCTTCCCGCATCCTCCCGGCACCTCGACGCCACCCAACCCCCTGCAGATTTAAGCCAAGGCCCGCACTGCTGTCTCTGCCTTAATGGCTTCAACTGCAGTAGATAAGAAGGGGGAACAGAAGTGAGGAGTGGCAAAACCGCAATTCAGAAAAAAAGGATACGTACTGGCGGGTGCATATTGCGCGAGAATCCGCGCGACGTTGGCGTGTAGCGCCTCCTTAATCATCTCGCCTTCGGCCTGCAGCAAAGGCAGCTGGGGCTGGGACACGCTACTCTGTGGAAGCAGCAACACGTACCCGCAGCAGCTTGAGCTGCAGTTGCAGTATCTTCATCCGCTCCTGAAAACGTGCGAGCTGGCGTTTTGAACGGACAGCAGAAATTTGCAGTCAACCAACCAGGCGCTCCGTTGCGTCTCTTTTTTTTTGCATTTCACTGACGATCTCGTCAATTGTTGGGTACCTGTTGAAGTTGCAGGCAAAATGAGGTTGGCAGTGTGCGTTGGAACATGCTGCATGCAGTGTGCATACGGTTTTTCAGACTGAGCAATCTTAACGTTGAGCTGCTTTTCCGCTGCTAGGCCAAACTTGGCCTCTGCATGAGATTCATAAGATACGAATACTTGCATTTCTAGTCAAAGGAGAGGTGAGTCTTACGCTGAGCAGCAGATTCCGAGCTGCTGAGTTGCAAGAAAGAGGTCATCAGCGGTGTCTGTGCGCACGATCCGAAACTCATAGAAACCCATAGTAACGGGATTTCCTTTTCGGAGGACTCACTGGAGGCGGGGAGGCCTGAGGGTTTTCTTCGATCTGTTGGAATGCTAGAGGGATCGGCGAGTAGGATCCAGGCGTTGCCGAAACTGAAGCGCGTTTCATTGCTTGAGAAACAGCCTGAAGTCTCGCGCTGACCCCCGCTTTGCCATTTTCCCTTGTGTTCTGCTGGCTTACCGCTTTGTCGACAAGGAAGGGGTTCATCTGGATTTGAATGTTTGTCTCGAGCTCTGGAGATGCATGCAACTCGACTTGCACAACTCGCCCGAATGCGCCTTCTCACCGGCGACTGTGATTTGCGTCAGCTGGCCGAACTCCGCCATGGCTTGATCAAACATCTGCGGATTTATTGAAATCTGGCGAAGAATTCGGAAATGGAGAAAAGAAAAAAGTCACGAACTTTCGACTCCTCGTCGGCGCGGAGCTGCTCGATCTCGTCCTGCTGCTGCTCAGCCACAAACCCACTGAAGCTCAAATAAGTCTTTGCCTACCATTTTCTCTTTAATTTGAGGGTCTGGTTCTTTGACTTCCGTCAGCTGAGTAATGAAAGGTTTTGTTCTGCTGAGTTCAACAAACATTCAGCTCTACGCACTTGCAGCTTCACTGCGGGAGGAGGCGCGAGAGCAGCAGCCATTATGTCGCCAACAATTGCACTTTTGGACTCCACTGTTTCTCCAGTTTGCAAAAAAGAAGTGAATTGCCGAATCGCTCCATTTTCGATGGCTGGGAGGGGTGAGTGCCTTGCAGTGGCCTCGCTGCTGCTTCGTTCTGTCTTCACCTGATTTCGAAAGTTCAAAAAAAATAATTTGCCGACCTGTCTTGCTCTTGAAATCTAGCCTCAGTCTCGCCTCCGCCTGCTGACCCAGTGCGAGGCAGCATGGCTCCTTTTATTGCGCCTTGCAAAATGGCTGGATTGTTGAACGTGCTCATTGCCTGCGCACATGTCAGTAAATCGAGGGGAAAAAATGGCTTCAATCATGCCCACCCGCTCTACTGCTGAAGCAATTTGCTTCTGAGCATTGTCCAGCTGCACATTATACTCATCTTCCAGCTTCGCCATCAACCCCTGGGGTCAGTCCCGTGCAGTTTGCTCGCATAAAAAGCATTAGAGAGAAACAGTGCTAATCAATCTCACCTCCTCCAGCTCCAAGCGGGATCGCTCCAAAAGGAGCACTTCTGCCGTCACTTGAGGAAGTGGCTACGATCGTGGTGTACACGGGAATGGTAACAAACTATCAAGGCGGAATACAAGCATGAACTCACATCATCCGGCGGAGAAAGCTTCACCTCAATGGAAGGTAGAGTTTGGGCATTCTGCCGAAATTTTATCGGCCAGGATTGCTGCAAAGAAAATAAAACGCATGGCGTTAGTTTTAACTGCTTGGTTCCGTACCGCCCGCAGCCCTTCAACACGCAAAACACAGAAAAGAAAAGCAAGGAAGGTGACGAGTCCAGCAACAGTGGCTAAATGCCGCTGCATTTTCAGATGCTTTCAAATATGTTTTTCATGGTAAGTTCCTTTTAAAGGGTTTCCTAATTCGTAACCCCTTTTTACCTAATCCTGCACACCTGTGGTGGTCACGGAACTGCGTATACACCCCAAGATCGAGGGCGTCAGAGCCCTGCCTCGTGTCCCAGTGTTCCTAAAGGTTTTATCTCACTAGTTTCACTCGACAATTACTTTAATGGCGGCTTATTTGCAGTGGCTTTCCCTGCTAAGTTGACAACAGCGAGCTGCCAAAAGCCAAACGCCTAGCTCCTCGACAAATTCAAGGAACTGCGGCCAGTTCCTGCGAAACACCTTTGGTTGAGCTGCCGCCTTGAGTTGAAATGCGCTGTATATCATTTTGGTTCGCATTTACTGTCTACGTGGCGCAGCAAGACCGAGGATGATCGAATACCACTCCGCCGTGGGTCTCAAAAGAATCACCCGCAGCAAAGTAAAGCACAACCGGACTGAACCCTTGGATAAAACGATGACTGTCTTTTGACTAAAGAACTGATGAGAAAGAGTGCTTAACGGCGTTGCTGATTTTTCACTGTTTTTGTTCACTTAGGCTTGCAAAGTGGGGATCGCCTGCGAGCTCTGAAATTGCAGCATCGTGCCTGTTTGCTCGTTCTCCACAGCATTTCGGCGCTCTTGTGGCCTCAACTTTCTATTTCTTGCGATTAGTTGTCATATATTGAAAAAGTTTGCAAGTGTTACTCATTCTTTCTTGCAAGTTGTCACCCTCGCCTCAGTCGCGCGGGCCTTCGAGCCTCGGGAGGCCCCCAGCCCATTGGCTCTTTCTTACATTGCCCAGCCGTAGCGGGGTAGCCCCAGCTCATCTCCTAAGTTTGCAAAATGCCTAACATAATTCCCGTTTTCTCTTATTGTTATTATTATCCTTCTCTTTTGAAGGTGGCCGCCAGCAGCTCGTGAGCGGCTCTTGTCGGCTGTGGGGCCCCGCGAACTCTCTCTCTTGTTGTGGATCTTCAGGATCAGCTCCTGTCCCTCTTTCCCTCTAATCTAGCGCTGTTGCTTACAATGAGCTGCTTCGGTGTTGGCCAGTTTACAGGCAACAGCAGCTCCAAACGGGATAAATAATGGCAGCTGTGTCTTAGAGTCTCTCAACTCCCCGTCCCACATGCCCCCTACTTTGTAGCTATGGGGAACTGGCTGCTTGGGGTTGTGCGTGGCTGCTGTGGGGCCCTTCTGCTGCTGGCCTGCATGCAGCAGCAGCAGGTGGAGAGCGCGCAGATCCGTGTGGCTCCCCGTCCTGCTCCCCTCCCCAGCTTTGCCTTTGCCTCTGGGGAGCTTCTCAGCAGGCAGCTGGCTTTAGGAGCTCCTGAGGCTTCCAGTTCTGCTGCTGCTGCATTTCCTGCTGCAGCAGCAGCAGGCCACCGCCGGCGGACTGCCACACACGGCTACGCAGCGCCAACGGGGGGCCCCGAGAGGGCCCCTTACCCCTTTCAGGAAGTGGAACAAAAGTGGGTACAGTACTATGCTAAGAGAAGTGCAGAGTACTCGCCGCCTCTGCCCCCCCCACCGGGTCCCAGGGGGGCCCCACACGCAGCAGCTGACGAGAAAGGCAGCAGCAGCAAACCCAACAAGTTCTATGTCCTCTCTATGATACCTTACCCGTCGGGCACAGGCCTCCACATTGGCCACTGCTACACGTACACTCTAGCAGACGTCGCTGCGCGCTACCACCGCCTGCGGCTGCGCGCGCTGCTGCACAAGGAGCAGCAGCAGCAGCAGCAGCAGCAGCAACAGCGGCAGCAGCAGCAACGGCAGCAGCCTCTTCCTGAAGCGGCGTGTGGGACCCGGCCAAGCCCCGAAGAAAGCCATCTGGACCATCCCCTTCAGCCACCTGTGCTGCATGCAATTGGCTGGGACTCTTTTGGGCTGCCGGCGGAGCAGCATGCGCGGGAGAGGGGTGAGCCCCCAGCCTCTGTGGTGCAGGCGAACATTGCCACCTTCAGGCGGCAGCTGCAGCGGCTGGGACTCAGCGTAGACTGGAGAAGAGAAATAAACACCAGCAGCCCCGACTACTACAAGTGGACCCAGTGGACCTTTCTGAAGATGTTCAAATCAGGGCTGGCCTACGAAGCGGAGGCTGAGGTCAACTGGTGCCCCGCCTTGGGTGCGTAACGTTGACGGCCTAGATATTAAGGTCTTTGGGCTCAGAGCTCAGCGCTTTTATCTAAGTCTTAGAGTTTGCGGTTTGCGGCTGATCTTTAGGTAGCTTTGGGGTCAACGCAGCGCGCGGGCCAGTTATGAACGTAGAAGCTGCGTTTGAGAATACGGGGATAGACTGAAAGGCTTGGAGTTTGTGTTGGATCGCTGCAGGTACTGTGCTTGCGAATGAGGAGCTGACTGCTGAGGGCCTGAGTGAACGCGGGCGCTTTCCTGTGGAGCGCCGGCTGCTGCGCCAGTGGCACTTGAAGCTTCGGGCGTACGCTGAGCAGCTGCTTGCAGGATTGTCTGCCTTGGCCTGGCCTGCGGAAGTTCTGCAGATGCAGCGCAACTGGATAGGCAAAGCAGTGTACTTTCGCCTCAGCCTCCCTGTGGCGCAGCGAGGCTCCTCGGCCTTAGCCACGCAGCCCTCGCACGTACCTTGCCTGCTGTTATCTCCTGACTGCCTGCACAGTTGCACCGGCGTAGCGGTGCACCCAAAGCACCCGCTGGCTGCGCAGCTGGGGAACAGTGAGAACGATAGACTAAGAATAGAGAAGTATGTGAGAGACGAAGCTGGGAAAGGAGCAGTGAGTGGCGTCCATACGGGACTGTATGTACACAACCCCCTAACGAACCACCCTATGCCTGTCGTCGTGACAGACATTATGGAACGGCTGCCCGAGTTCGGGCTGCAGTTGACTGCGGCAGATGCTCTCCTCCTCTCCCCTTCCCAGCAGCCCTTCGCGGCGCCGCTGGCTTCTGCAGGTTTGCTGGCTCTTAACCCTGCATTCCCGCCTGTTCAACATTTGGCTTTCGAAGGGCCTCTGGGGGCCCCCCAGCCTCAGGGAGGCTTGGGAGGCGACGAGGAACGGGCGGAGGAAGCAAAGGCCCAGGCCTTGGAATGGCTTGAGTCGAGTAGTTGCAGCAAAAAGGTGGTTCGGTACCGGCTAAGAGACTGGGTCTTCAGCCGTCAGAGGTACTGGGGGGAGCCCATCCCCGTGATGCGCGCCTTCAACCAGCGCCGCAGCAGCGCCAGAAAAGAAGATGACGCGGGCGCAGTTGAAGCTGTTGGGCAGGCGTGTTGCCCCCACGCCGCTGCGGAGGCGACAGGCGATATTATTCCTCTTTCTGATGCAGAACTCCCGTTAATACTCCCGCCTTTCCGGCCAGCTGTCAGCAGCGGCCCCTTCACAGGAGCAGCAGCAGCAGCAAGAGGCGATGCTGTCGCGGCTACTGCTGAAGACGGCTGCATCGTTTCGTCTGTAAAAAGCAGACTCAGGAAGAGGGCGGCAGCTGAGGCCTCAGAGACTGTAGCGGCGCTCGGCCACTACAGGGACTGGGTATTGGGGGGCGGCTCTTCGCAGAGTGGACCTAAGCAGCAAAGTGGCCCTCTGAAAAGCCCTCAAGAAGAATCGAGTGAGGACTCTGTAGGAGGCTCTTTTCTGGCTAGAGAGACAAGCACCATGCCTCAGTGGGCGGGGAGCAGTTGGTACCACTTGCGGTTTCCCGACCCCCACAACGAGGAGGCCCTCGCCAGGCCTTCTTTGTTGCAGTACTGGTTGCCAGTTGACCTGTACGTGGGCGGCAAGGAGCACGCAGTGACGCACCTCATCTACGCAAGGTTTGTCTTTTTTTATGTTCACATTTGTGCCCTAGGTGACC